TCTTTCTTAAATTTATAGATTATGTAACCCCAATCTGTTTATCACACTTACCAATAGAAATGTTCAAATCTAGTTATTACACTTTTTTTTTTTTTTGTAAACATTTAAATATTATGTCTTAAGTTTACCCATAATAAAAGGTTTTTTTTTTTTTTTTTTTTTTTGGGGTTAAATTTACTATTTTGAATCGTGGGATGGTGTTTGGGCGGAGTTTTTTAAGTGGGTTGGTGAAATTTTGGTGAATTTTCGGTCAAGGTTGGTGCTTTCAATGTTCTTAAATTCTAGGTATGTGGGATTCTATATGCTTAGATTTTAACAAGACTCTTTATTTTTCTTGATTTGCGTAACGGTTTTTTTTGTGTTAATATGGTTCCTTTTGGATTTCAATTCCCCTTCTTTTCCAGATTTTGATGTCTTGAAATGGTAGATTTATTCTTATTATCTGTTTTATGTGAGAAGAACTTGATTATTATTGTTCTTGAACTGGACAGATGTGATCTGTCATCGTGTCAGATATCATTGTAAAACATCATTGACTAGTTGATGTTCTGTGATCCTTTTTGTTCTATAATCAAAGTTCTGATTTGCTGTTATTTTTCACTGTTGGCTGTGCTTGAAGATCGAAGGAGGAGGTTGAGGAAGTATGAAGGGTAAAAGTAAGATTAAAAGGCTGAGGAAAGATGGAGTTAGGCAGGATTTGGGGAAGGTGATGAAGTGCCTATACTTTGGAGAGCAATTTCAAGCGGTAGATAGAATGACTCCTTCATCTGAATCCACCCTTGCTACCAGGGACTATCCCCTTATTGAGTGTTCTCCTGGAGTTAGTAAGGAGGGTGAGAAGAAGCCAGACACCCAGAATATAGAAGAAGCTGAATTATCTCTTCGTGAGGGTGGTTCCTTGAATTATGAGGTTTGTTTCTTTTTGTTCTCTTTGAGTTTAGTTATCTATTCAGAGTATTTCATTTTCTCATTCCCACTGTAAGCTGCCTGGGCTATATGTTTCTTAAGTAATTATTATAAGCAGTAGCACAATGATTTTCCAAATTTCTTAAACAAATTCTTTAAATTTTATATAGGAATTTATTAGTCCTCTTGAACACAAGTGTATTTAAATCAATGGTTACGTGTTATTTGGTTCTTTTCATTGAGCTATATGTATGAATCCATGATACTCTGTATCGTATATAAATATTAAAAGCCAGACATTATGAAGCTAGCCTCGTGGGTTTTGGTAATTCTTTGTTGGTTAGGGCATGAGATTTTCTTTTTAATTAATTAATGCTGTGCAGATGCCACTGGGATGGTTCACACTGTAATAAAAGGTTGAATGGCAAAGCTGTATAATGCTATGCTAAGGGTAATTGGTTTGATGTTTATTTTATGTACAACTATGTAATTTATTGATATCTCTTTGAATTATTGTATGTAATGAGAATATGTGAAAAAAATTTTGAAACTGCTTTTTATTGCTTACCTGTGATCAAGGTGTGTAAAATTTGCAGGAAGCAAGAGCCCTATTGGGAAGAATTGAATATCAGAAGGGAAATTTTGAAGCCGCACTACATGTTTTTGGAGGAATAGATATTGCCGCAATAACCCCAAAAATGAAACTTGCCTTTAGCAGAAGAGGAGAACATCATAAGAGACGATCCCGTAACTTTGATGCTCCTCCTATGTCTGTCCATGCTGTCAGTTTGCTATTTGAAGCAATCTTTCTCAAATCAAAATCATTGCAGCATCTCAGGCGGTTTAAAGGTATTTTTATCTGATAATTTTTCTATTAGTTTGGACAAAATAACATATCTTTATACTTGTTTTGAAATTCATTTTACTTTAAACACCTTCCTTCTGATACCACAGATGCTATGTTTTGGTGTCCTGCATTTTGAACTTTTTACTTTTTAGTGAGTGCTATTATTCTCACTTTTCTACTTGGAGAATATCTGAGTATGTAGTTTGACGAGGAAGTTGTCCTCCTGCAAACATTTGTTTGTCCTTTCTTAAACTTTTCAGTCATTTAGTTTTGTTTTTCATTCACTGGTTTCTTAATGGTCCTGAAGTTTATCTTCTACATGATAGCCTGACTCTCTTATCTTTATTTTCTTATTTTAACCTCTCTCAAAATAAAACATTGTGATGCAGCTAATGTTTGTCTCCAATTCTTATTGCAGAAGCTGCTCAAACTTGCAAAGTTATTCTGGACATAGTTGAATCTTCCTTACCAGAAGGCTTGCCTGAGAATTTTGGTGTTGATTCTAAATTGCAGGAGACTCTAAACAAAGCAGTCGAGCTGCTTCCAGAATTATGGAAACTTAGTGATTGTTCGCGTGAAGCCATCTTGTCTTTCCGGCGAGCTCTTCTCCATCAATGGAATCTTGATGCAGAGACTTTTGCAAGGATTCAAAAGGAGTTTGCCATTTTTCTTCTGTATTCTGGGGGTGAAGCAAGCCCCCCTAACCTCCGGTCTCAAATGGACCGTTCATTCGTCCCTAAGAACAATATAGAGGAAGCCATACTACTTTTGATGATACTACTAAGAAAAGTTTCTTTGAAAAGAATAGAATGGGATCCATCAATCTTGGACCATCTTTTATTTGCTCTATCTGTTTCAGGGGACTTGACAGCTTTAGGTAATCAAGTAGAGGAGCTGATGCCAGGTATACTTGATCGTAAAGAAACATATTACACTCTAGCTCTCTGTTATTCTGGAGCTGGTGAAGATTTAGTTTCTTTGAATTTATTGAGAAAATTGTTGAGTAATAAAGAGGATCCCAATTGTGTTCCAGCCTTATTAATGGCTGCCAAAATTTGTGGTGGAGACAATAATCTTGTGGAAGAAGGGATAACTTTTGCTCGTAGAGCCCTTGGAAACTTGGGAGCCAGATGCAATGAGTTGGAAGGCACAGCAAATTTTTTATTAGGTGCATCACTCTCAGCACATGCCAAATCACCTCTCACAGAATCTGAGAGGGTCAAAGAACAATCTGAGGCGCTTGAGGCCCTAGAAAGTGCTGGAAAAATTACAAAAATGAAAGATCCCAATATTCTTTACCATCTCAGCCTTGAAAATGCAGAGCAGAGGAAGTTGGATTCTGCACTTTACTATTCGAAGTTGTTGCTAAACCAAGAAGGTGGAATGAACATTAAAGGATGGCTATTATTGGCTCGGATATTGTCGGCTCAGAGACTCTTTATTGATGCTGAAGCCATTATTAATGCGGCCTTGGATCAAACTGGCAAATGGGATCAGGGAGAACTTCTACAAACCAAGGCTAAGCTTCAAATTGCACAGGGTCAAGTAAAGAGTGCTATTGAAACATATACTCAGCTTATCGCTGTTCTTCAAGTGCAGAGAAAAACCTTTGGTTCTGGGAAGAGGCTTCATAAGGTTTGTTTGTTGTTTCATTCTCACATTTAAGGTCATTTGTTTTAATTGATTTCTTTCTTTTTGGAAGAATATGGTTCCATAATCTAATTCATGCATTGATTCTGCATGAGGTTGGAATCTACATGTTTATTTGAGAATTAACACAAATTGCGAA